TGAATGTTGCCTCAGAGATGAGTTATCCTGATATTTTTAGTAACTTTTTATAAAATTTTCTCTTCTTTATTATGTATTTTTTATTTTTTAACAATCATACATACTATCTAAACTTTAAGAAAAATACAATTTCAATTAGTTTTCTTCACAGAAATGAATGAAATGCTGAGATATAGGCCTACTGAGTTTTCTTACACCCTTTAAAGTGAAGAAGGCCTTGTGACCCCTCGAGAAGCTTTAGCGACCACTAGTGGGGTTCCCGAACCCCAGGTTGGGGCTTATAGCATAAAGACTGGAAACAGGGGGAAACAGCTTGCCTGGCTCTGTCCAAAGGTAACAAAGTCTTTTTACCAGCACCTTTAAAGTTGAATAAATAACACATTACATCTTGTTTGTTTAAGCCACACGAAGTGGAAGAACACTACTTTACAGGGGGATTATCTGCGGGACTATTTCTTTGCCAGGAAGAGGAGGACTTTCTCGAGTTGCCTCTCACCCTGAGGTTGCAAGGCACCTCTTGGAAGTTACTGCTCTCGGCCATGACACAGTCCAGCACATAACCCCCCATTAAACTGTAACAGCCAGGCTAGTTGTTTCCCCCTGCTTCCAGTCCTTATGCTAAGCTAAGCTAGCGGTCTCCTGGCTCCAGCTTCATATTTAACAGACTGATATGGGAGTGGTATCAATCTGCTCATCTAACTATCAGCAAGAAAGTGAATAAAGTGTCAAACCTATGATAAAAGTTTGTTTTTGAAATGAAAATCATCCACCTGTACTGTACCTGGCTCTGCATCTTGTATGCACCATAATCCTTTTTGTCCTTAAGTATAGTATATAGAGTCCATTAGTTAGCACTAGTAAAATACTCAGAGACACGGCCTGCAGTACTTTGCTTAATCAGACAGCAATAGGATTTGGAGAGGCTATGTGTACATATACAGTACATGACTAAAGGGAACACAGGGACACCATCCATCAATGGTCCATATACTGCCATGGATAAAGATAAGGGCCACTGCTTGTATGTAGCTGGAGATCAAAGATTAGACCAAATGAACTGGTTGAGCTAGATGTCCTGATGTCCTATTCTCTGCCCTGTGGAGGTAAATCCCACCCCCAGCCTACATGGACTTCTTAATGGTTGTGATGTGCATATACAGTATACATATTGTTTGGAATGAAGGCCAACAACTGTCTACAAATTGCCTCTCACCTTGACGGGGAAGTAATCCCGCATGTATTCCCAAACTTTGAGGCCACACAAGAATGGCACCCTACGGCCTCCCCGGGAAGGAGTGTCATAGTCAAAGAACCACCAGACAGAGTACAGCACGCTGATCAGCCAGAAGCGCGTGAACAGCAGGTAAAAGAACAGGAAGACGCAGAGGGGTGCTGAGGAGAGAAAGAGAGAGGGAGAGAGAGAGAGAGAGAGTGTGTTAGTGTAGTGAGCAGCAGTTTTGGAGCAACAAGAATATACTGTAAATACATTTTATAACCATCCATTCTGATCTGGCATAACAACTGTGAAACACGCTACATGAATGGTTACTATAAGTTAATGTGTTTGTTTGGAATTAGCCATTTTATGAATGGTGGGTGTCTGCTCTGCATCAGTAGCATTCATTTCTGCTGGAGAAGATATCATAAGTGGCTGTTGAGGTTAGTGAGAGAGAATGTGCTTGTTTGATGTCAATACAATTTTACATTTCAGCATGATGTGGCGGTTTTCATTTTTAGCATGCACAGTCATCAGTTCAATCAAACTTCCTTTTAAAACCAACACCACATCTATACCTTTAAACAGTCAGTGCTATCAGGTAACAGCCTGGATGCCAGTGATGAAATTAGCTGCAAGTCTGTGTGCTCAAAAATGAAAGTTGTTCTGTCTTATAAAATGGGCTTGAGTCAGGAGGTTAAGCTGAGCGTCACAGCAGGAGATATGACTGCTGCCCAGTGTGATGTGAGTGGTTTCACTCATGATTTTCTTAAAGGCCTCAGATGATTTAAGAAACACAGTAACAGCAATACCACTGGCAACGATTACTAACCAGGGTGGTACTTACACCGCGGTTCTGTTCCCTGAGAATTCTTCAGATGAGGTTCCCTCCAGTTATTTTCCATGGTTTAAAAAAAAAAGGTACACCCAACATCATAGCACTAGTTGTTGAATGTTGGAGTTAGTATAATGCTGGTGCTTTTTGATTCAAAGCTTATCATCTCTGTAATTTGCCTCAATGCCAAGTATGTATGCACTACTATGAATGCCATGCCACAAGAGGGACACTGCAGGCTGCAGAGAGAAGGTGTGTAGTCGGAGACTGTCACTGCCGTATGGGGGATCAGGGCTTAGATTAAGAATGTCTGTGAATATCAAGTGAGAACCGTGACTGAATATACTTACTAAAGTGTGCAGCTTCATTCCTTGCAACAAGATCCCAAACGTAATCCCTCTGGATGGTTCTAAGGAGCAATTGTGCGTTTTGTAGCACAGTAGTACCAGCTCTGGCAGACTGTGTTCAACTTGGATTATATGTTTTCTTCTCATTTTTTGAGGTTGCAGTGGGAGTGTTTTCAGCATTTTGTACAGACAAAGTCTGTACATGGTTTGAATATAACTGACAATGGATAAACGGTATTGCTCTGTATTTCAGCTATCAAGTGGGGCGGGCTGGTCTGGGGGTGGAACACGTGAAAGGTAGTTTGCTGGCCGGGGGGTGGTGCGATGCGTCAGTCTGCGCTGAGCTGGGCAGCGGATGTGATAAGCGATGTGGGGTGGAAGACAGCGGGTCACTGTGAAAAACCAATGGAGCCGGGTGGGTCCAGAGGCTGGAAGATTTGTAGTGAGAAGATTGTTGTAGTAGGTGTGTAAGTTTCCTTTCTTGCGCGATGTGTTAGATTGATCGGGCCGCCACTCGGCATGTTGGCTGTTGTAAGCTGCGTGATTATGAATAAACTGAACAAAATGTTGACCCGAGTTGTTTGGGGTTAGTGACTATGGTGATAGCTCCCCCGGTGGTGCCCGTAGGACGGGGGGTTCTGCAACCGGCCGTGTTACCTGTAAGGACTCGTTGCTGCTAGTCATTGAGTGAGATACTGAGCTGGGACCCCGTGACCGAAGGTGATAGCATATTTTAGTAGACGATATTTCAGTAGTGGGTGAGAGTGATTCGATGGTTGGCGAAGCAATAACAGCTGAGCAGGAACAAGCGGATATAGGGCTGTAACAGGTTTTGTGTGATGGGAACCGCAAGAGGTGGGGGCCCCGTCCAGAAGTGTGGAAAAGTGTGGTGGGATCGTTGGCGGTGTAATGTTTGAGATGTTTGTCCTTCCTGTGGCGGGCGTAATGTGCCTCAGAAGTGATTTGGGGGCGGGGGCGGGAGCAAGTTGAGCGGCGCAGGTGGTAGATGAGAGAGGGGGGGGTAGGAGTGGGTTTGTGGAGTGTGGTGGGGTGGTGGGCTGGGTTGGTGTGGTGTTATATTGGGTGGTGTGTGTGTGGTTGGTGTGTTTGGTGGTGGTGTGTGGGTGGGTGGGTGGGTGTGGGTGTTTTTGTGGTGGGGGTGTTTTTTTTGCGTTTTTTTGTTTTTTGTTTGTCTTTTGTATTTTTTGTTTTTTTTGTTGTTGTTTGTTTGTTTTTTTAGATTTTTTTTTTTAGTTATACTATAATAGTCTCAATTAAAATTGTTATTTTGTTTTTATTTTTTTTATTGTTTTATATGAATTCTTTTTTTATGTTGTTTTTTTTTTTTGTTGTTTAAAATTGATTTGATGTTTGGTGGTTGTTTTCTTGGTTTTGATTTTTTATTGATTGGCATTGACTATAGATAGGGTAGTTCTCGTTTGGGTTTTTTTTTGGTTGTTGTGTTCTGTGTGGGGGCAAGACGCGGTGGCGGTGGACACAGGGTTGTGTGTGTTCTTGTCGTGGTTGTTGTGTGTGGTTGTTGGTGTTTTTTGCTTTGTTTTGTTGTGTTTGTTTTGTGTGTTGGTACCGATCCTTTTGTGTTTGTGTGGATGTAAATTGGTTGTGTGGTTTGTTGGGGTGTGTGTGTTGTTTGTGGTGTGGGTGGGTGGTTTGTGGGGTTCTTGGTGATGGTTTGTTGGTTTTGTGTTTGTGTGTGCGGTTTTTTGTTTTGGGTGTTTTGTTTTTTTGGTTTGTTTTTTTTTTGTTGGTTTTGTTTTTTGGTTTTGATTGTTTGTTGTCGGAGGGGGAAGCTGGGTATGTCAGCCTGGGGATTAAACCATCACTCAGTGTTCAGCTCTAATGCAAAATACAGGGGAAGCTTCGGCGCGCGGCGGAGTTACTTCTCTTCTTTGGGAACTTCTGTGTATGCGCCGCGAGTTTCGCTTCAACAGATGTAGCGGTCGTAAGTGTACGGTTCTGAAGCCATGCGAGCTGGAGGGTATGCTGGTGCTTTCTTAGTAAGCTATGGATTGACTTCACATCGGCTATCAATCTGCTAGCGTAGGACGTTACGGGATGGGTTCTGGAATGGAGTTACTTGGTGGGTCTGGTAGCTTTGGGTGGCGTGCATGTGTTTCCGCACCACTCATTGCCGCAACAGGGATGACAAATGAAAACACAGCAAGTGTTTTGGCTCGACATGCGCTGAATTGAGAATTCGTTGTGACTACAAGGGCAAGCAATGTATCTGGTTTCTCGAGAAGAAATGAGAAATTTCATCTTACGCTTGGAATTTTACTCATTATACGAGGGATTACGTAGGTACAGGCACAGCCATACTTGTTAGGGGGCCGGAAGTTTGGGTGGTATCAAGTTGATGGAGGCCGTGTATATCTGTAAGTATAAACTAGTTCTGAGGAATTTTAAGATCTTCGTCTTCAAAAACAAAAGCCTGATCAAAATATCGTGGGGGACAATATGTCTGCATGTGATCAGGGTAAAGTGGGTCCAAAGTCTGCCCTTCTGCACCTCTCCACCTCTCCACCATCCACCTCTACTAAGCAACAGTCTTCATCTCAAGGAAGCATCAATATAGGGTTGATTTGCCAAGTCCATAGTCTACCACCATCATGACTTTTGACCCTGCAAGGAAGAATCCTGCTAAAAACATTCCAAACGCAGTAGTTAGTGGAAGGGGGGAATGGCAAATGCCTTTTTATGTTGCTTTTACTGTGTCCTTTTTTTTTAGGCTTTCTTGCACTGATGGAAGGGGCAGTCAGTGGCTAGATGACTGCGTAATATTTTGTTCTGAAATGTTGTAAAGGCAGCCCCATCTGGTTGAGGCAAACCACAGTAATGCACGTCAGGCACAGACAGTGATAAAGGGTCGTTTTTGTTGGAGCTATGACCAATTACTTATCACGATACGCATGCATTATCAGGTGGCCTGTCCTAGGAAATGATTTCAGTACTGTTTCTTATAAGTTCGCCCCTTGCCACTCAAAAATCTTATTTTTCTCCTTGTTCCTACAGTGTGGATGTTTTGAATGATGCTGTGCAGAGTTTGACACTAAGGAAGGATGTTTTCAGCATTTCATCTGCTGAAAGTGGAAAGTTTCCCTGGAGCTCGACTGAAATCTGATATTAGTGGGCACCTAAACAGCATGACTTGTTGATAGTCAGCAAATAATTAGGAAGTCAGTCGCTGGTCGCAGTTATTGCAGCTTTGTTACGTGTTGATGCTAGAAACTTGAAAAGCCAG